ACTTCAAATTATTCTACAAAGCTATAGTAACCAAAACAGAATGGTCTTGGCATAAAAACAGACACTTGGACCAATGGAACAAAACAGAGAACCTGGAAATCAACCCACATGCTTATAGGTAATTGATCTTTGACAAAAACAACAAGAACATACACTGGGGAGAAGACTGTCTCCCAAAGGAATGTAAATCATGGTGTCAAAGTGATACCTGCACTCCCATGTTCATCACAGCTCTATTTATAATAGCCAGATATGGAACCAACGTAAATGTCTACTGATGGATTACTGGATATGGAAAATGTGATACATATATACAATGGAATACTACTGTGCCATAAAAAAGAATGAAATTCTGCCTTTTGCAACAACATGAATGAACTTGGATAAAATTATGTTAAGTGAAATAAGCCAGAAGGAGAAATTCTGCATGTCCTCACTTATAAGTGGGTGCTAAAAAAGAAGGAAAAAAAAGAATAAAAGAAAGCCCGCAATAAAACTTTCAGAAGGAGAGAACAAATCTATGGCTACTAGAGGTGGGAAAGGGGGAGGAGGTGTGGGGTTAGGGAGAACTTGGGTAAGGGACACCAAGAATAATTATGATTTGCAATAATGAACGTGCCAATATTGATTTGATTATCACATATTGTATAGATAACAGTAGTACAATAGTGGTGGTCAACACTGTACCCCCCAAATAAATATGATCAATTATGCTTCAATAAAAATAAATAATGTCAGTTCCCTCAGGCTGTTCCTGTCCTGACAGCCTGCCCCTCTCAAAGTATCAGTCTGCCCCCCACCTCCAGGGGTAGCATGGATCTGTGGATCTGGAAGGGGGGTGGTGGCAAGACAGCCTGTGGCTTAAATGCCAAAGGCTCCTTCTGTTCTTATCAAGATTCAGCATATTTTCTTGAGTACAGGCTTTTGAATTTCTTGTGTGCTGTATGATCTATTTTCAGAGACTTCAAATACTTATTTTTGGCAGTTTTGTCCAATTTTATTGCTGCTTTCTTTTGAGAAGAATATCTGCCAACCCCCTTACACAGCGTTCCAGAAAATTAATAGAATTTAATGACAAAAAATTGAATGATAAATTTGAATTATAAAACTTTGGAGTGTTTTCCTGGGGCTATTATTATTCTCATCTTTCAATATATTTTGTTTAGACTAATCAAAACACTTTTTTATTTTTCTAATTATTTCATGTAGAAAAGTCCAAAACTTCCAACTTCCCTGGAGAACTCTTGTTGACACTTTACAGGTGTGGGAAATGGGACGGCAACTTCAGTTGTAGGTTGGATCCAAATCCCTTGGTTTTGTTTCTTAAAATTTGCATTTGGGTCACGTTATGTATCTAGCTTCAGATATGAAGACTGATACTTTATGTACATGTATAATGAGTTCCAAAATGTCCTGGTCTGGGTGAGTTTGGAGCATGGACAGTGTCTTGATGTACAGGCTTGCGGAAACCAAATGGTATTTAAATTGTTCAGATAATGTCAAACTACAGCATTGGCTTTCTGATTTACAGAGGAACAGTGGTCTTTTTGTCCCATCCACAGTGCTTTCTCTTTCGTTGTCCTGTGCCAAGGTCCAAGCAGCTCTGGTGACACTTGTCACACTTCACGTTTGCATTGTCACTGTTGGGGCTTTGACCTCAGCTTCTGCGTCTGCTCTTGTTCATCTCCACGTGATTATTTCTGTTTGGCTCGCGACCTCGGATAATTTTGGATACAACCTGCTGACTTTCATCATCTTATACAACAATCTCATCCCCATCAGTCTGTTGGTGACTCTTGAGGTTGTGAAATACACTCAAGCCCTTTTTATAAACTGGGTGAGTATCAAGACAGAGTTTAAAGGCTGAGCTGTTGGAGAAACGCCTGCTGCTATTTTCTCAGACTCTCTCAGGCCTTTGTCATTTCATTGAGCTNCACTTGGACCAGTAGAACAAAACAGAGAACCTGGAAATCAACCCACATGCTTATAGGTAATTGATCTTTGACAAAAACAACAAGAACATACACTGGGGAGAAGACTGTCTCCCAAAGGAATGTAAATCATGGTGTCAAAGTGATACCTGCACTCCCATGTTCATCACAGCTCTATTTATAATAGCCAGATATGGAACCAACGTAAATGTCTACTGATGGATTACTGGATATGGAAAATGTGATACATATATACAATGGAATACTACTGTGCCATAAAAAAGAATGAAATTCTGCCTTTTGCAACAACATGAATGAACTTGGATAAAATTATGTTAAGTGAAATAAGCCAGAAGGAGAAATTCTGCATGTCCTCACTTATAAGTGGGTGCTAAAAAAGAAGGAAAAAAAAGAATAAAAGAAAGCCCGCAATAAAACTTTCAGAAGGAGAGAACAAATCTATGGCTACTAGAGGTGGGAAAGGGGGAGGAGGTGTGGGGTTAGGGAGAACTTGGGTAAGGGACACCAAGAATAATTATGATTTGCAATAATGAACGTGCCAATATTGATTTGATTATCACATATTGTATAGATAACAGTAGTACAATAGTGGTGGTCAACACTGTACCCCCCAAATAAATATGATCAATTATGCTTCAATAAAAATAAATAATGTCAGTTCCCTCAGGCTGTTCCTGTCCTGACAGCCTGCCCCTCTCAAAGTATCAGTCTGCCCCCCACCTCCAGGGGTAGCATGGATCTGTGGATCTGGAAGGGGGGTGGTGGCAAGACAGCCTGTGGCTTAAATGCCAAAGGCTCCTTCTGTTCTTATCAAGATTCAGCATGTTTTCTTGAGTACAGGCTTTTGAATTTCTTGTGTGCTGTATGATCTATTTTCAGAGACTTCAAATACTTATTTTTGGCAGTTTTGTCCAATTTTATTGCTGCTTTCTTTTGAGAAGAATATCTGCCAACCCCCTTACACAGCGTTCCAGAAAATTAATAGAATTTAATGACAAAAAATTGAATGATAAATTTGAATTATAAAACTTTGGAGTGTTTTCCTGGGGCTATTATTATTCTCATCTTTCAATATATTTTGTTTAGACTAATCAAAACACTTTTTTATTTTTCTAATTATTTCATGTAGAAAAGTCCAAAACTTCCAACTTCCCTGGAGAACTCTTGTTGACACTTTACAGGTGTGGGAAATGGGACGGCAACTTCAGTTGTAGGTTGGATCCAAATCCCTTGGTTTTGTTTCTTAAAATTTGCATTTGGGTCACGTTATGTATCTAGCTTCAGATATGAAGACTGATACTTTATGTACATGTATAATGAGTTCCAAAATGTCCTGGTCTGGGTGAGTATGGAGCATGGACAGTGTCTTGATGTACAGGCTTGCGGAAACCAAATGGTATTTAAATTGTTCAGATAATGTCAAACTACAGCATTGGCTTTCTGATTTACAGAGGAACAGTGGTCTTTTTGTCCCATCCACAGTGCTTTCTCTTTCGTTGTCCTGTGGCAAGGTCCAAGCAGCTCTGGTGACACTTGTCACACTTCACGTTTGCATTGTCACTGTTGGGGCTTTGACCTCAGCTTCTGCGTCTGCTCTTGTTCATCTCCACGTGATTATTTCTGTTTGGCTTCTTATATGGACCTCTCCCATTTCCTGGCTTTGGACCAGAACATTCTAGCATTTCTTCAGCCTTGGGTTTAAGTCTTTACTGAGTGTGCTCTACATTTTCACACTGTGTATAGTGATATGAAGCTATTAGGGGCTAGTATTCAAACAAGCACTTTTAATTTCTTACTATATAATTTTAATTGGAAGGTAGGTATTTGTTTCTAAACAAATGTCAAACCTTAGGGACATCTGTAACTATTGGGACTTAGACATCCTGTTTAGCAGCTCTTTAATTCTGTAGGAGAACAAGATAGCAAAGTAATATGTCAGGAAGACAAGCATCAGCAGGAGAACTGGCAGGCTTGGCAGTGAGTAGACCGTGGAAGGGCGGGCGAAGGTGAGGCTGCTGCTGGGTTGTGCCTGCTCACCCCTGTTCCTTCTATCACCGCCACCCGCCGGAACTCTAAATCTGAGTGAAACTACCGCCGTCTGACTTTATTCCCTAGAGAAAAGCTTTCTAACTGCATTTTGGAGCCACTACGAATTCCTGACCTCCAGTTCTAGCCTTCTGCTGTCTTTATTCTCATGCCGGTTCTGGGCAGAGGTGTCTCTGATGCTAATCAAACCCTTAGCCTGCTGCAGCCTCTCCTAAGCCCTACAGAAAAGAAGATCTAACTACTTCACCCCTCCCAACAGGAGATCGTGGCCATCAGGAAAGCGCCTCCGCCTTTGTCACCCCCCGACCTAGTACCTCTTCCCCTCACCCCCACCCTGGCCTCTCTTCCTGCCCGAGTGGACCCTGCTTTGTGGCGCTTCCTGAGAGATCTCGTTCCATCCAGACGGTCCTTCTCTTGTCTTCCATAAACAGGCTCTGGTTTCCCTGCCTGCCTCGCCCTCTTTGCTTTTCTTCTTCACACTTTTTTCCATTTTACTAACTTTTTGGAGTGTCCCAAATATACTCCCATCTTAGTGACATTGCAGATATACCCTAAACCATGGTACATGCTTGTTCCTTTTCCGTATTCTTTTAAATTAGCTGTCATCTCTCAGTTCTTCAGAATATGACTGAAACGTTTATTCGGATGGCCTTCAGTGACCGTGCTTTCTCAGTAGAAAGCCTCCTGTCTTGGTTCCTGCAGTGCCCCATGAACTCATCTTTAATAGATGCGTCCTGCTGCGTGGTCACACTGGGGGGCTCACTCACCCCCGCCACAGCCTCGGGAGAAGCCAGCTCCTGTCGGCAGGGGCTGTGCGTGGATAGGTGGACTCAGTTCCTGACACACAGCAGGCGCTCAGTAACTATGGAACTTGAATCTCTAAATAAGCCAATTGACTTTTGTTGTGAATATTTTTTAGAAACATTCCAAAATAATAAAGTAAAATGAAACTTGATGAGACTGTAACTAAAGCTATATGGATGTTCTGGCTGTCTTCCACAGATGCGACCTCGGATAATTTTGGATACAACCTGCTGACTTTCATCATCTTATACAACAATCTCATCCCCATCAGTCTATTGGTGACTCTTGAGGTTGTGAAATACACTCAAGCCCTTTTTATAAACTGGGTGAGTATCAAGACAGAGTTTAAAGGCTGAGCTGCTGGAGAAACGCCTGCTGCTATTTTCTCAGACTCTCTCAGGCCTTTGTCATTTCATTGAGCTCCCAGAAAAGGAGGAATATAGTTCGTTCATAGTGAGGTCTGGGGTTAAACTGGCCAAACAGAACTGGCAAGGGATCCCCAGTGAGGTGTCCCTGAGGAATGGGGAGGACAATGGCACCTGCTCAAGGGCTGGCTGTGAGGGTCAAGCAAGAGGAGGCGGTGGCAAGCTTGCAGGTGCTGCATCCAGCTGCAGCTGCTGAAGGAAAGGCCTCCTAGGTGTATTTACGTCAGTGTTCGTTGTATGTCAAGGTTCCTTGAAAACTTGGATTCGAGCGTAAAGGTCGAGTTGGGATTTGTAAGCGACAGCCGTGGCCATGAAGCACTGGACTTCAGCAGTCAGTGTTCTCAGACCTGGCTCGTTTATGTGGACTTGTATTTGACGTTCACACTAATCCTGTGAGCAAGATATTGACCAAGCTCAGAATCATAAGTTAGTCCAGGTCGTGAAATGATTATCTTGGAACCAAATTTTGTGTATTTTAATGCAGCACTGTGTTTTCTCCTTGTAGACGGTGGCTGTGCTGTATCCTAACAGCCACCATATTTCTACCCCCAAATTAAAAATCAGCATTTATATTAAAACGAAAGGGGTTTTAAGTTACCGTTTCTTTGTTTATTTTCTGTCTTAATCTGAACAAAGTATTGTATGTATGTATCTTCTGAAGTATACTCTGTCTCTCTCTCTCTCTCTCTCTCTCTCAGGACACAGATATGTATTACATAGAAAATGACACTCCTGCTATGGCCAGGACATCAAACCTTAATGAAGAGCTTGGGCAGGTGAGAGCCTCCTTGGGAGTTTTGGTAATGGTGACATGAACTTGAGGGGAGATGACTGTTAGCAGAAGAACCGAGGAGAGATTTTACAGAAGCAGTTCTCCATGACTGCGGTTATGATATCTGAAGAGCTATGTGCTATGTGAAAGTATTGTTAAATACAAGTGTTATTTGGTTTGATTTACTTTTTGAGGCATGGATGTATGTTACCACCTAGAGGTTACCTGCAAAAAATATAGTACAAAAACATAGTACACCGTCATTTTGGACTCTTAAAACTGCTTATCAGGAGAAAATGACAGGGAAAACAATGGTTAGGATACTCAGATACTGGGTAACCCTGCAAAACATGTAGGGGATAATTTGAAGGATATGTTCCAGATTCTTGTCTCTGGATTATTCCAGGGAGCCAGTGTCTTTCCACCTTCACCCTGAACTCCTTTGGCCTTTTCTGAGTTGCCTTTGCATTATGTCTGCATCTTATTCTGGGATTACTACAAGAACAACCTCTTTTGAATGCATTGCACTTAAAGATTATGATTTCATTTTGTACATCTTATTTAAATCTCCCAACAACCCTATGAGGTGGGTGCTATATCTGCATTTTATAGATGAGGAAATCAATAACTCACTCAAGGAGATACCTGGTTAGTAAATGACAGATGGGCAACTTCAAATTGTCTGTCCAAACCTGGCCTCTTCGCGCCTGCTTGCTTAGCGTAGGAACGTTGCCGAGTACTGTCTCTCCCAGCCTGTGTCCCTCTGCAAACAAGTGGGTGAGATGTCTCCTTCCTCTGAGGGTTAGGAAAAGTCTCATATGGAGGTAGGCTTGCTTTTTTTTTTTTTTTTCCCTTCAAGGACAAAGTGAATTATGCTATGGTTTGTGTAGCATTTTTTAACTTACTGCCACAAAGTTGAGTCTCAAAATTGTGGACCAAATTTTATAATAGAATAGAAATTTATTTTTATTTTTTTTTGGGCAGCTTGGCAGTATTGGGATCTGAACCCTTGACCTTGGTGTTATCAACACCATGCTCTAAGCAAGTTAACCAGCCAGTCCTAAAATAGAAATTTATAGGCAAAAAAAAAAAAAAGGAGGTGATTTTGTTCCTTCGATGTTATTTTCCAAACCTACTTAGAACTAATAATTTTTTTTTATTTATCTTTTCTTGAGCTGTGCATATTCGTATGAGTACTTTTAAATTCTTAGTATAACAGGGTGGATTGTCACTAAAGAAAACATCCTTGGCCATGAGCACCAGTCCTTCCAGCGAGGCCCACCCTGGGCTCTAGTGACATGGGGCCCAGCCCTTGGATTTTTACTCCTCTTTTTTTCCCTAACATTCTCTTTTTCTAGAATGGCCTTGTCATTTCCCTTGTCTGTCTGGTAAAATCCTACTCCTGTAAGAATCAGTGAGTTTTTGGTACGTAGGAGACTAAATTTGCCTTCTCTTCGAATCCTCTTCAAATTTTCCAGGCAAGGTTAATTTATCTGTCTTCTGTTCCTGTAACAGTTTTGCCAAACATAAATACAGTAAAGTTAGGGCTGTGATTAGTGATGTAGTGTCCTGTTTCCGTCTGGAGATGTTTGAGCCCATTTGAGGGTATGGGTTTGCTCTATACAATGTCTTTGGTTGCCATTGTCGGTTTAGCCCAGTGCTCAGCATAGAACTGTGCTCAGCTGCCATTCAACTGGACCCCAATAACTGAAGGATTGAAAGTGCTCAAGAAACACTCAGGATTAAATAATTCATCCTAACTGGGAATATGGCAAAATTTGCATGGGGAAGAAGTTTTGAGTTGGAACTTTAAGGATAAGTTAAATTATCATAGGCAGAGTAATAAAAAAATCTTGATAATTCTTTACTATAAAATTTTTATTTTAATATTTTTATATAAACTTTTAATTTTTTAAAAAATAGCAGGAGGATCCACTGCTTGTTAGAAGGCAGATTCTACTGATTTTTTTTATACTCCTAGACTTACTGCACATAAAACTTACATAAAAACTTACTATTTGTAGTTAAAGCATTAATTACCTCTAGTGTACTAATTTTATATTTGGGTGTAACATCTGACTTCTTTAGGAGCTTTAATAATTTTATAATCTTAGTTTTAAAAATAATTCTCAGTGCATTTGTTTATACTATTAAGAAAAAGTACAGAGTAAACAGTTCATGCTATTAATCCCTCTCCTATAAAACAGTGAAACACTGCTTCCTTAGACCAGTTCTCTGGGATCCCTGGAAGTCATCTAGCATCCAGTGACAGTCTTGACCTCTCTTCAGAAAACCACTGACAAACTGGAGGTTCCCCTGGAGGCAGTTCTATTAATGACTCTCCCTCACCAATCCATGATGTGATTACCCAGAATGTTACATTTAGAATAAGTTACGTGTCTTCTGGCCAGATCCTTTATTTCATAGATGTGGAAATTGAGGCGGAGAAGGATGAGATGACTTTTCCAGAGTGTGCATGACCAGTAAGTGCCCAGCACCTGGACTGGGCTCTCTCCTGTCTCCTGGCCCGGGCTTCTTGCCCTCTTCCCTGTTCCATCCCTGGGTGGAGATAACATAATTTGCACACCACACTTGCACTTGGAGTGCCTCTCTTTTGTGTTCAGTTCATCTTTTCAAGAGCTTTTGCTTGTTGACATGCTCGGTAATTTCTTTTCACCTTTGTGTATTAAGAGCTTTATGTATTAAATCTGTAAAACTATGCACCTTGGAAAGTGATACAATCTATAGCAGATCGATCCTGTCTTCATAGGCATCTTAATCTTGATAGTGATTGAGAAGCTTCAAGTTCATTCTGTGGTGTTTCAGCATATGCCTTCTTCATCCAACTGAGAGGACAGAATGCTGTGAGCCCATGGCGGTGTCTTGAAGGAGGGACGTGCATCGCTGAGACGCCTGCTGGCGGGACTTACTGCTTTGGGGTGCAGATCTAGGATGGCGTCAGGGCTGTTACTGAGGCTTACTTTGCACATTTCTGTACAAACTAATTTGACTGTAGAATTAGTTATGGAAAAAGATTTGTAAGCGGTCTAAGCATTAAAGTGTACTTTTTGTTACTTTGCTTGCTTTAAGGAAGTCTACCCATGTAAATTTGATGCAGAATCTGAAAAATGTAGAAGACAAGACTTCACTTATTGGTCTTTGCATCTTATTACATTCTTGATGTATATTCTTTTATTGTTTGATTTAGGTAAAATATCTATTTTCTGACAAGACTGGAACTCTGACGTGCAATATCATGAACTTTAAGAAGTGCAGCATTGCTGGAGTAGCCTACGGGTGAGTGTGTTTATCACTTGTGGAAACCTCACTTCTTTCTTCCAATGAAATAAATTTATTTTTAGCTACTTATTCAAATATTTTGACTCTTTGATATTTTGAAAAGGTATTTATATGGGATTTAGATATGTAGTTACTATTGAATGTGTTTAAAACTTAATGGGTCCCAAACTGAACTTTAAACAGTTAAAATGTGGTTTATTGCTGCAAATGTTAACTTAGTGAGAAATTCTAGGGAATCTGTAAATTTATATCTTTGATCTAATAGTCATGCATTTCTGACTTGTGTTTGATCTGAATGCCTGTCTTTTGATCGCAGTTTTGTGACCACTCTGTTTTCCTTCTCTCTGGCAGTCATTTCCCAGAATTGACAAGGGAGCCGTCCTCAGATGATTTCTGGTAAACAGATTCTAGCATTTCTTGATGCTTCAGTGGAAAAGGCTTCAGAATAATTTTGTATTGGCATGTCTCATCTGAATGTTTTTATATGTAAATAAAAGTTGCAGATGTCATTTTGAAAGAGTATCTGAACAAAATTTAAACACGAAGATGGTTTTGAAAGTCCACACTACAAAGCTTTTAACAAAAGTAGCCTGACCTTGGGCCAATACTTCCCATTTTTTAGAAATTGTGGACATTGTTAGACTTTCTACCACAGAAAATGTGAGTTTAGCGTCTTCTCTGCATGAGACATGTCTTCTACCCCCGCTCCCTCCCCTCCGTCTTCAGAAGCATTTGGGATTTTTTTGTATATCCTTAGCATACGAAATTTCAACCATGTGCTTGATGTAGGCTTGTTTTTCATCATTTATGTTGGGCTTTTAATGGATGACTAGTGGGCTGTTTCTGTCATTCATTCTTAGAAATGTCCTTGTATTATTTCTGTGATAATTTTTCTCCTTTTCAACCTCACTGTTCCCTCTGGCTCTCCTGATAAACATATTCACCCTTTTGGGTTGATCTTCCAATTTTATCTTTCTCCCCCATTTTCATGTTTTTTTTTTGAAAATTTTCTGATCTTTTTCCATAATCTTTTATCCTTCATTGTGAAGTTTTCGCATGATCTCACTTTGTTTTCAAAAACATTCTGCTAACCTTGCTGTTGTATTGTCTCTTTCCTCTGTTCTGCTCTTCTATGCCCCTTGTCCCCTGGCTTTTTATTTTTTTAGTTTTATTTTATAGGCTTTCTTCAAAGACCTGTTGATCACTGACTGTGTGCTCATAAACTTTTTATTGTAGTAAATGCACATAATATAAAATTTATCATTTTAATAATTTTTAAGACTTTTTAAAGAAGAGTTCTAGTTTCACAGCAAAATTAAGAGGAAGGTAGAGAGATTTCCTGTAAGCCCCCTGCCCCTGAGCTTTCCCATTATCAGAATCCCCCAAAAGAGTGGTATAGTTGTTACAATAAATGAACCTACACTGACGTCATAATCACTGAAAGTCCGTAGTTGACATTAGGGTTTACTCTTGCTGTTATACATTCTGTGGGTTTGGACAAATGTATATGACATGTATCCACTGTGATAGTATCATACAGAATATTTTCACTGCCCTAAAATTCCTCTGTGCTCTGCCTGTTTAATCCCAACCCTGACCCCGTCTCCAAACCCTTGGCAACTACTTGTCTTTTTACGGTCTCCACAGTTTTGCCTTTTGCAGAATGTCATATGGTTGGAACCACACCCTATGTAGCCTGTTCAGACTAGCTTCTTTCACTGAGCATTACTCAAATGCATACTTTCTGTAGCTTGGTTGTTCATTTCCGTTTACTGTTGAATAATATTTCATTGTCTGGATATACCACGGTTTATCCATTCATGTACTGAAGGACTTGGTTGTCTCCAAGTTTTGGCAATTATAATAAAGCTGCTATGAACACCTGTGTGCAAGTTTTTGTGTGGTCGTAAGTTTTCAGCTCCTTTGGGTAAATAACAAGGAGCACGATGGCTGGATTGTATGGTCAGAGCATGTTTAGTTTTATAAGAAACTGCCAAACTGCCTTCCACAGTAGCTGGACCACTTTGCATTCCCACAGACATTTTTAATTTTAATGAAGTTCACCTTATCAATTATTTCTTTCATGGATTTTGCCTTTGGTGTTGTATCTAAAAAGTCATCACTGTACCCATGGTCACCTAGATTTTGTCCTATGTTATCTTCAAAGAGTTTTATAGTGTTGCATTTACATTTAGATCTATGATCCATTTTGAGGTAATTTTTGTGAAATGAGTAAGGATTATGTTTTGTCTAGATTATGTTTTCTTTCTTTCTTTTTTTTAACATGTGGATATCCAATTGTTTCAGCACCATTTGTTGAAAAAATTGTCTTTGCTCCATTGTATTGCCTTTGCTCTTTTGTGAAAGATCAGCTGACTATTTGTATGCGTCTTTTCTGTGCTCTGTATTCTGTTCACTGACCTACTTGTCATTCTTTCGTCAGTACCACCCTGTCTTGATTGCCATAGCTTTTTAGTAAGTCTTGAATTCAGGTAGTGTCAGTTCCTCTAACTTTGTTCTTCTTCTCCTTCAGTACTGTGTTGGCTAGTTAAGGTCTTTGGCCTCTTTCTCTATACTTTAGAATCAGTTTGTCAATATGCACAAAATAACTTGCTGGGATTTTTATTGGGATTGCATTAAGTCTATAGACCAAGAAGGGAAAAAGTGACATCCCATTTTAGCCATTTTTAAGTATACCATTTATTTGCATTAAATACATTCATAATGTTTTGCAACAGTTACCACTATCCAGTTCCAGAATTTTTTTCTGAAACTCTGTACCCATTAAGCAATACTCCCTGTTTGAATTTGTCAATTCTAGGTTCCCTATATGAGTGGAATCATACAGTATTTGTTCGTTTGTGTCTGGCTTATTTCACTTAGCATAATGTTTTCAAGCTTCATCCATATTGTAGAGTGAATTATAACTTTCATTTTTAGGCTGAATAATAAATATTACATTGTATTTATATTCTGTATTTTATCTATTCATCTGTTGATGGGCATTTGAATTGCTTCCACTTTTTGGCTACTGTGAACAATGCTGCTGTGAACATTGGTAACAGGCATCTGAGTCCCTGCTTTTAATTATTTTGGGTTATTTACCTAAAAGTAGAATTACTGGGTCATGTGTTTATTCTGTGTTTAACTTTTTGAGGAACCACCAAACTATTTTCCATAGCAGCTTCAACATTTTACATTTCCTCCAGTATTGTGCAGGGATTTAGGGTTTCAACTTCTTTACATCCTGACCAATGCTTGTATTTTGTTTGTTTGTCTGTTGTTGTTTTGTAGTAGCTATTCTGATAGGTTTGATGTAGTATCTCACTGTGGTTATGATTTGCATTTCCCTTATGACTAGTGATGTTTTCTGCTCATATTTGAAGATTTATATGCTAACAAAGCTGATTGGTAGGGCTTTGGTGGGGGACAGTGTGGTTGATGGCTGGTTGTCTCCCCTGTGGGATGATCAGCTGGGACCCGCTATTCTACTAGGGGATCCCCGGATGTCAGTGTCTGTGGGTCTTCCTTGTAAGCTGGTCAGTTTTCTTCTCATGAAAAGAACCCTCCGTTTTCTTGCCAAAGGCAGTAAATCTGGCTGCAACTGTTACGGGAGTCTAGTGGAGGCAGAGGGCTGGTGATGGTACCTTTCCCCATGCATAGAATTTCATGTAAAACTCCTGTTTGGGGAGGATGCCCTAGCCTACCCACATGTGTGCTGGTGTTGAGGGCTACTCTGGTTTAGTCTCTCTGGGGGGTGAACCTCCATTTCCCTCTGGGTGCAGAAGCCTCGGTTGTCTGGCTGCACCTGAGGAGGTTAGGTTCTTTCAGGTTGAGGGTCCTCAGGTGGACTTGGAACCTGGTCTGGTCACTGCCTTCCCTGCACCTCATGTACCTCACAGGTACCTGGTGCTGTCGTTCCCACAGCCTCTGCAGGTTCTGCCGGGGCACTGGCTGGCATTGGGTGCTCCCCCTTGCAAGCAGTTGGTGCTTGTTTTCTCTGCTGTGCTAAACTCTGACATCTATTCAGTTAATGCTGACATCAGTTCTGCTGTCGTCTCCTCTGCTGTCTTTGTCCTGGAGAAAGGGCTTCAGGAGGGAGTGGAGAGAAATGAATATGCCTAACCCTTCACATTTTCTTCAGTGTGAGAGCACAGCTGGCATATCAGGTGTCCTTTCTTGTGATTATTGGGCTGCCTCTCTCCCTGCCTGTGCACTCTGGCCATAAACGGTCGCACACACGCAGTGCAGTCGTTCCTCTTGTGTTCCCTGCTCTGAGCAGACGATCTGGGGAGACTTCCCTGGTAGGAGATACGCAGGGACCAACTGAAATGACGAAGTCGTGGAATCGATCCCTGGCTTCTGTTTCTTTTCCTCGTTACTACAGATGCTCCTCGACTATGATGGGGTTACATCCCATTGTAAGTTGAAAATATCCTAAGTCGATAATGCATTTAATACTATGATGAACCCATCGTAAAGTTGAGAAATTGTAAATTGAACCATTCTTAAGTCTGGGACTGTCTGTATGTTGTTATTTATAATAACTTATAAAATATCTTATTTATAACAACATTAAGGGTTTCTGTCTTGAGGTTTGAAATAATCTACAGTATTCCAAATCTTTAAAAGTTTAATATTCCAAATCTTCAAAAGTTTAATATTCCAAATCTTCAAAAGTTTAATATTCCAAATCTTCAAAAGTTTAATATACATCTATGGACTTTTTAGGTGCGGTTCTTCTTGAAGACAGATTCTTACTAGGTTTGAGTGATCTTAACAGGAACTTTTGAGTTGAAATATCTTCTGTTCTCTCCTGCAGTCGGATGCCCCCTCCCCCAAGTGACTCGTGTGACTTTGATGATCCCAGGCTGTTGAAGAACATTGAGGATCACCATGTAAGTTCTGCATTTGGCTTCTAAGGTATCCAATTGCTTATGGTGCACTTTTATTTATATTTATGTATAGAGTCTTGAAGTTGTAATTTTGGAGCCTGAGAAGAGATGCAGTTTCAATTTTATGGTATTAGTACTTCAGGGAAGTGATCTTAAGCAAAGGCTCTGTGTTGAACACTGTGCATAAATTAATGTAAAGCTGGATTTAACTACGTGGTGAAGTTATAAAGTAGCACAACAAGATAAGGTGAGTCTTACTACGGAATTCAATAACAGTTCAGATTTCTGTTGCTTTGTAAGATTTCTGCATTATTATTTCTTCATTGTTGTGAATCTGAGACATAATGTGTTTTGTTTTGAAAAGTAATCGCATGTCCTTTGACTAGGATATGTTAGGAAACAAAAGTAAGATGTAACAAGTAACATTTTTGGATTCTACTGTGTGCCAGACACTTGACATATGTTTCCTTTAGCATTTGAGTTGCCCTAGGCAGGTGACAGGAAGTTGCGTAGAAAGATCGAATTGGCCTAGAGTTATGCAGCCGATAAATGTAGATGGGGCTTGGGACCTAAGTCTGTTGATACGTAGTTGCGACATCACGCCGCCTCAGCTCATTAGCAAACCAAGATTCACTGTGGGATCACATCAGGTCATTTTTATTTTAAAGGCTACTCTGAAATATATCAACCTAGAACATTATTTGCTGATCAAAACACTTTATAACCAATTTAGTCAGTATAAATTAGATCTAATACAATTAATTTTTTTCTGAAAAAAATGTCTAGATCTAAAGTTAGGTAAACATGAGCAAAATTAAAACTTTATCTTTCAAAAACTATATCTTTTCCAAAACTTCTAAATTTTCCATGAGGAAATCCTTCTTTTCTCTCTTGCTGTTAGCGCCCATTTGGGAATGCTAAAACCTTCCCAGCAGCAGTTCTGAAGTGTGAGTGTGTAAGGTCCCGTGTCCACGGGCTGTGACGCAGCCCTAGGGCAAGGCCTGTGAAGTGGCCTGAGAACACAGAGAGGACGCTGCTGAAGTCCATGCTCCGCCCCGGTCACAGACACCAAAGAGTCCTTTCTTGGGTTTAGATCTTACAGGTAGATCCAGCTGCTAGGCTAGAGGTTGTGTGAGCAGCAGAGTGGTGTGTCCAAAGGATCTTCTCTGGAGTAGGGTGGTTTTAATCACGGATGTCAGTGAAACAAGTGAATTTGAGGAGTTGCTTCCTGAAAGAGGAAATGTGTTTCCCGGTAGTGTTCAGGTTGTGGGTTACAGCAAAGGTGGTCGACTGAATGCGTCTTTTCAAGTTGGGCTGGTGAATGGGAAAGGAGAGAGCAGAGGCTGATGTGGACTCTTAGGAACGTGCTCTTAGTCTTGTTTTCCTTTCATAGAGCAACAGGTGAAAAAGCAGCAGAGGAAATGGGATGAGTGGAGTGAACTGAACACAGAATCCCAGTGTGGGCGGAGGGATAGCAGCACACTATTGGATACCATTTAAATAAGAGACTCACTTGTTTATCCACTTATTTGCAAAGAGTTTAAAGGCCTAGTTCATATAAAGTACCTTGCTTTAGATACTAGGGGAGGAGATGAATAAAAAACACTCAAAGGATTCCTGTTAACTGGGGAAACAGACACATGAAATTGTTAAGAGCAGTTGTATGCTTTTGCATCATAGGTAAGATGCAGCTCCCCGAGGAAGTGATTTTGTTTAGTGTAGACAGTGGAGTCCCATCCTCTGGTGGGTGTCACAGCTACTGTGACTGTTGAAGTGTGGACAGGGTGGCCATGCACACTGACCTACAGGAGGGTTGGCATAGAAACCTAGTGGCCAGGGGCAGATCCTCATTTGGAGAAGAGATCTTCTGGGCACCCATCACATACTGCTGGGATCCCAATGTTTGAAATCTTTCAATACTTAGCTCAGTTTACGACTCACCAGATGTCCTCTCACACACTGGTGTGTGGGGATTCCTAAGGGCGTTCGATTGCCCCTTACATGCTCTTCTTGAGCCTCTCCTCCTCTGTTTGAATGGAGTCCTGAGCACAGATCCCGTCCGTTCCATTCTCTTCTCCTCAGCCACCACTTCCCGCCGACCCCTCCTCGTGGCCATGGTGACTGACAGGCATTTTGGGAAGAACCTCCACTGTTCAGAGAAGTCGTGATCTTTCTTCTTCTTCCTTCTTTTCTCCTCACCTGGGAAACACAGGGAATTTTAAGGGTGTTTTAATAATCTGGATACTCACAGTTCATTAAAAGCATAATGAGGCCATTGATTTGGGAATTTCTTTTCTTTTTTTTTTTTTAATTATTATTATTTATTTATTTATTTTTGAATTTTTGTTTTGTCGATATACAATGTGGTTGATTATTATGGCGCATCACCGAAACCTCCCTCCCTCCTCCCTCTCCCCCCACCTACTCAACAATGTCCTTTCCGTTTGCTTGTTGTAACAGCTTCAAAGGATTGTAGTTGTTATATCTTCTCCCCGCCCTCCGGTTATTTTTTGTGTGTGAGTGAATTTATTTATTTATTTTTAGCTCCCACCAATAAGTGAGAACATGTGGTATTTCTTTTTCTCTGCCTGACTCGTTTCACTTAATATAATTCTCTCAAGGTCCATCCATGTTGTTGCAAATAGTAGTATTTCATTCGTTTTTATAGCCGAGTAGTATTCCATTGTGTAGATATACCACATTTTCCGTATCCACTCATCTGATGATGGACATTTGGGCTGATTCCAGCTCTTGGCTATTGTAAAGAGTGCTGCAATGAACATTGGGGAACAGGTATACCTTCGACTTGATGATTTCCATTGCTCTGGGTGTATTCCCAGCAGTGGGATAGCTGGGTCATATGGTAGATCTATCTGCAACTGTTTGAGGAACCTCCATACCATTTTCCATAGAGGCTGCACCATTTTGCAGTCCCACCAACAATGTGGGAATTTATTTTCTATTATTTAGTAAAAGACGACTTACCCAGGTGTGACATTTTTAAGCTTTCTTGTATCCTTGAAGCCTTCTGAGGTATTCTTCATCTTGGCTACTGCATTAATTAGGCCCTTTAGCATTTAACACCTAGCAGCACTATAAATAATGAAGACCATAGGCTCTGGATTTTTCTTTGGGAAGATGTGGGATTGGATTAAATTTATCCAGTCAGTGTTTTTAAACAGTTTAAAAACATGGCCTGTTAGATCATTTGTTCATTTTGGCAAAATATGGCTGGGGTGAAGGAAGAAGCATGTGGGGATTTTAGTCTGGGGATGCCTCACATTCTCACCTAAATTGTCTTGGGATCATTGACTAATATTAAAGCATTTGACCCAAGAAAACCCTTGCTTTTCTCCCATGGGAATGCTGCCATCTGCTACAGAATTTTCTTTTTTCTGGGTCATCATTTCGGATTTTCTGGGTCTTTCAGGACTGTTTTAAGTTTTGTGTAGGCAGATAACCAAGATGGAATTTAGCTCTTAGTCAGAGAATCAACCGATGGAAAATTTTGGAGGACAGTTCATGTGATCCTCAATTACATTGCTAACCAGTGACCTCTCGTTTGTGGGATAAATTTCTGAAGATTCACCAAAGAAGATGATGTAACTTCTTTTGAATCCTGACACCCAGGACTTCTGAGCTTGAGTCTTTGAGAGGAAACCCTCTGTAGAGGTGTATCACTTACGTACTCCATAGCTTCAGTTTGTGCAAAACAATTTCAGACATGTAGTTTTCTGCTATTTTTAGAAGTTTATTAAATAGAAGATATTCATAGCATTTTGAATATATTAAAAGCTATTAACTGAAGGACAAAATGGGATGATTTCATTTATAAGAGTTTCCTAGAACAGGCAAGTTCATAGAGACAGAAAACACAATAGAGATAACTAGGGGGTGGGGAAGAGTGGGGAGTTATTGTTTAATAGGTACAGAGTTTCTGTTGGTGAAGATGAGAAAGTTTTGTCTATACAGCATTGTGAGTATATTTAACGCCACTGAATTGTACACTTACAAGTGGGTAGAATGATGAATATTACATATATATTTTACCACAATAAAAAAGCTTTAACTTCTAAGAATATGTATATATATATACACACACGTACACTTAAACATACACACACACAAGGGGTCTTCAAAGAGTTCATGGAAAGATTCGTGTTACCTTTCAACTCTACTTTTTGGCAAACTTTTTGAAGTGTGCTTGACATACATACAGACATCTTATCCATAAGCTTTAGGTTAATTTCGTCTCTTTCCCTTAATTTACTATAGAATGTTGGATTAGGCAAAGAACCAAGGGTAGATTAATTTTGTCTTAAGGATAGCTTTTTGATCTGTATGAATTTTGTCTGGCGTACCACAAAAGGTAGAAACTCAATTTGAATGAATGTGTGAGCAACTCTTCTTTATAACTCTCAGAGAATATTTCACTATTAGGTGTATTTATTTGCTGTAGAGTCAAGACCCTTTTGTGCTGTTTTACCGTGGGACAAGGTTACGTGCAGGATTGGATTGTTCGCAGAAGCAGGCAACCTTGAACTGAAGCCTAATTCTCAAATTAAAGTGCTTTTGAATAAAATTCCTAACCATTTTTGTAGTGTGTAGGCCTTGGAGAATTTGTAGATTCTCTAATCTCACTTGTTCAACTGCATCGAAATATAGTTTAACGTGCATTTTCTTTTCGTATAGCTGATAAGAATTAGCCATGTGAACAGTTGTGATGTGCTTCCTTAAAATTGCTCATGTCACATCAACAGGTCAGAGAAGAAACTAAGAACATTTTTGTGGAAATCATCATCCGTTTATGACCAAAAAATTAAAAAAAAGAAAACTCCAAGAACAATAGCAAACACATAGCTGCTTCCTTAATGTAAAAATATAAATCTGTGGCAGATTTATAGCCAGTTACCTATTTATTTAAAAGGGACGCATTAGAGACATTGGCATTAAAATAATGTCAGGACAAGGAAGCCCTGACTTTGAACATCATTCTTGAAGTGCTAGCATGTGCAGACAGGGGAGAGCTGAACAAGCATACAAATTGAAAGGAAAAGGGAAAACGAGTCATTTGTAGATGATATAATTGTCTACGCTGAAAACCCAGGAGAGTCAACTGAAACTCAGACACCTAGTAAGAGCTCAGCTACAATTGGATATTACAGTAATTTATAAAAATCAATGTGTTTACTTATAGGTCAACAATAAACTCCTGTAAAATATAATGGAAATAACATTCCATTCATGATGTAAAAAGCAATATATAAAATGCCTCATGCAGTGCTTCATATACAGCAGTCATTCAAATATTTTTTGAGCAAATAAAAAAAAAGTAAAGTATTTGCTTAAAAAGAGAGATGTATGCCAAGTCCTAGATTTAGAATATTTACAGCTTTTAGTAAATAGGAAGACATCCTATTCTTAAATGGGGAAGAGTATTAAAAGTGGTCTAATCCCAATTAAAAGTATATGATTCTTTTTCAAGGACGATGACGGATGTTGATTAAGTACATATCCAGGCCAATTTTGGTTTTTGTTGTTGTTGTTGTTTTTATTAATGGGCGAGGGATGCACATTACAGGTGTTAAGAGGTTGTGAAGTTTAAGATCAGACATTGTGTAGAGCAAACACCCGTTCAGCAGGATTGAGAGAACAGGGACACATGTGTTTTGGTGACTCCATGACGATCGGAATGTGTTCTCCTGGCCGGGTTAGGGGAGCCATTAGTGAGGACCTTGCAGTGTTTGGGGGGGGGTGGCGCTGGTGGTCGCTCCGCGGGAAAGGCTGGGTCCCAGGGGCCTGGGGTCCCCACTAAGGATCTTGAGCCTGTGCCCAGGGAGCAGGGCATGACTTGACTGGTCATGTCAGCTGCGTGGTGACCGGCGGCTCACTGGTCTCCTCTGCAGCCCACAGCGCCCTGCATACAGGAGTTCCTCACCCTCCTGGCTGTGTGCCACACCGTCGTTCCCGAGAGGGACGGAGACAGCATCATCTACCAGGCCTCGTCCCCAGGTGAGGGCCCTGCGCTGGAGACTCGGCGGTGTGCGGGCACACGGCCTCCCCCGTGCAGGTTAGGGGTGCAGGTGTTAGAGCCTGAGAGAGCCGGGGCCTTGGGGGTTGGCTCCTTTTCTCGCCCCCGTGGGTTTTCCAGCCACAGGGAGGCAACGTGTGGGAGCAGCTCCTCTTTCCCTCCTGGTGCCCTGTGGCTCCCGGAACTCCCACTAAATGTCGCCTCGCCCAGAGGAGACGCCTGCTCAGAAAGCCGCGGGAGTGCTGCCCGGGTCAGTGAGAGAGAGCCTGATCCCAATGAGAGTAGCAGGAATGCCAGTCACTGTGGCCCGGTGAAGCAGCCGCGGTCGCCTCCTGCCCTCTAGCCGAGTGCCCCTTCAGGACCCGCGGGGGGACGAGCAAGTGCTTCTGTCCTCGGGTCCGCCCTGGGTGCAGGGACGCCAGGATCTTTAATCACAGTGGGTTTTGTTAATTTGAAAATGGTACTAAACAGGATTTTGTGCTCATGCCTGACAGTCGGTGTCTTCCCACCTCCCTATTGACAGATGAAGCTGCTTTGGTGAAAGGAGCTAAGAAGCTGGGCTTCGTCTTCACGGCCAGAACGCCCTACTCGGTCATCATAGAAGCCGTAAGTGGCCTGCTGGGCGCGTTTCAGTCGCAACTTTTCTGAAGATTGTTTATCTGAAATAGCATGTCTGTCGCGAATGTGAGAGCTAAAGTTCTGTTTTTCTTTCTGTGAAAAATTAGACCTGTTGAAAAACCGATGCCGTCATGTGATTACATTAGCTCTTTCATGTTGTTTTGCGTTGCAGTAATTGTTCTCGCATAAGGATGCTTCCCCACAAGGCTTTCATATGCTGATGTGAAGTTATTGGAACTTCGCAAGTCCATTCTGTTCTCCAGTAGTTGGGAAAAGACCTTCATGGCCCATTTGTCTTTGAGGGCAGGTTTCACATCTCTGTGGCCCCAGAGTCCCGCACAGTGAAGCCATCGCGGTACACTGAGCTTCTGTGTCCTTGGCTGTGACAGAAAGAAGCTAGAGCTTAGATCTTGTATTTATTTGAGCTCCCTACCCCTACCCCCCTGCCAAAGTCAAGGGGTTTATGTATTTTCTGATTTCTTTTTTTCTGAGTTTCTCTCCCTATGGGTCAGAGAGAGAAATTTAGTGATAGGAAAAAATTATATCTGCAGTACCATCTCACCAGCCAAATAGGGACCCTTGGGATGGTCAACAGGGAGAAAGGACGGTTAGGACTGGTGAGGCTCTGGTGCTTTATAAGAGACCAGTAAGGGCCGGCCCGGTGGCGCACTCGGTAGAGTGCGGTGCAGCGACGCTCCCTCTGAGGGTTCATATCCCATATAGAGACTGGTCCGCTCACTGGTTGAGCGCGGTGCGGGCTCGACACGGAGGGTTGCGATCCCGTTGCTGGTCGCGGTACGGGCGCGACACTGAGGGTTGTGATCCTGTTACCAGTCACAAAAAAAGACAAAAAGGAAAAAAAAAAAGAGAGACCAGGAAGATGGGCTGAGTTGTATCCTACTGTGTGGTGGATCAGGGCCTGGGCGTGGTCACCGCCTTCCCTCACCCTCGGTTTGGGAACACTCATGGATTGTTACAGTTTGGGGCTTATGCATCCTGGAGTCCTTAGCCCTCTTCAATGCACTTGACGTTCACTTCCAAATGGTGGGATAACTTGACGTTGTCCCTGACTTGGCAGTAGTCAGTTTTTTCTCTTACTCACGTAAAAACCTATAAACTACCTCACCTTATACAAAGTGCCCATTTCTTGGCATCTTCAGTTTCTTTTCTTATGGAGTACAGAGATCAGATCATGTTTACTTTCGTTTATTTCAATCAACAGAGGAAATTTAGCTTAGGGAAACGTGTAATCATTCAAAGTGGAATGAAGTATGGACTGAATGTAGAATTTTCTGCACAGAAGTTTTCTTCCGCTTCAGCTTGGGGAGACTTTTAACGTTAACCAGAGGGTTTTCCACTGTGTGGGTGCTGCTGTATGTCTGTGCATTGCAGAAATGGAGGTTGTGAGTGGGGGCACAGCTGGGCTGAGCGTGAGTGGGAGACAGGACAGGACAGCTGCTTCTGCGTTGCTTACAGAACCAGATCAGTACGGCGTTGTCATGGTGTCAAAGGCGGATTGGCACCTCTTCGCATTTCATGTAAGTTTTAAGATCATATTTCTGAGAGTATAAAAAGACTACCTGATTAGTTAGAACTTGTAAAGAATAATACTTAAAAAAATCCTATTCGGCCATTAATACTGGGGATCATCGAAACACAGATTCTCAGGTTGGTTGACAGGTATTATTAAGTGTCCTTGCTGATCATCGTAACAGCTGAGCCCCTCGGCCACCCAGGGAAGTGGCTGGTGAGATGGTACTGCAGAGAGGAGGGGCCCCGGGCAGTCGCAGCTCTGGTGCTGAGGGGGGCGGCAGCAGGGGGTGCCTGTCTGAACAGGGAGCTGACAAAGTGGCTAAGGAGAAAAGGAACTGGTGGCTTCAGAGAGAGGTGAAGAAAGGTCATGAGTTGTAATTTAGGATGCAGAGAGAAGCGTGGAGAGTTGGGGGTGGGAAGATGACAGTTGTTCAGTCATTGTACTTGGTAATTTGAATACGTTCCTTCCCTGGTTACTTCTCTTAAACCCAAGAGATGAGCGCTAGGACCGTTCAGAAGAAAATCACTTAGTAGCCTCCTGGTTCAGACTCGATTCAGTCTCACGTCTATTGGACTCCGAAGTCCACACCGCATTGTTTCCACTATGATATGTTGGGGAAATAGGAGGGAAGTTCAAAAAGTTCATGGAAAAATAGAATTAAAAGATAATACAAATATTTTCATGAACTTTTTGAAGAACCCTTATAGCAGATTAGATTAAAAAGTTTGAAAACGTCATACACACAATCTGGTATTTTTCAGATGGAAAAATATTGTGTGTATTGACATCCTAACTTGAAAGAAGCTGAAGAAAAGGGGCATTAGATTAATCGCTCTAAAACCAGATACAGATTTATAAACGTTATCTGCAAATCCAAAATCCAAGTTTTTTCCTTAGTTTGGGAAATAGTCATTTGGCAGCAAAACCCAATCAGAACTGACATGAGGTTATTTATGGTTTTATGAATCTCTCTTAGTGTGATAGTCATACATTTTGTTGCAGAAAATTGATGTGTTGTAAAACGGTGTTACCCCAGAGCCTGCTGGGGACATTATGGCATATGGTTTATGCATATACATTTATAAAATGTGTAAAATTCTGAATTTAGAAGCAAAACTGCCCCCAAGGCTTCTGATGTGTAGCTTCTCTTATCTTTATCTCTTGGAAGTGGCTGTACGAGCAGCCAACTGTTATCACAGCCATATGACTGAGAAAAATGAGAAGCTTCTGCCACAAGAGGGAGCTATGACCCCACCAGATTTGTGAGAAAACTACCTGCTGAAAAGGCGTTTGCAGGGGGCTGGGAGATCGGGAGGGGAGAGAGAGAGAGTGTGTGTGCGTGATGGGGAGCCAGCTGCTTTGAGATTTTAATACATTGCACTTTAACAGCCTGTTTTTCTTCCTTTAGATGGGACAGGAACAGACATTTGGAATCCTTAATGTCCTGGAATTTTCGAGGTATGTTTCTCTTTCATACACATGAAATGAAATACTTGATCAACTTTATCAGTGTTTGCATGATTGTATGGTATGATGAAATATGGTACTTAAGTATTAAATATAGTAAATATATCTCCACAAGTTCTCATCTTGGAATTTGACTTTCATTAAAGAAAGTGAAGTAGGTAATTTTTATTTTTCTCAAAAGAAATGTTGTTCTTCCATGTCCTCCATTTCCTTGAGAGGTCCGGAGCCTGGTGTTCTGGCATCGGCGGCTGCAGACGTGCCTGCATGCTCTGGAGTATGTGATGAGGGCTTTCTTTTTAGTGGCGTTTCCCAAGCCCCGTGAGGTCATGCCTCTTGCTCCATCTGAGCGCTCCCCTGGAGACCTGAGAAACTGGCTCGTGAAGACAGATCAGATCAGTTCATCCTTCGGAGGCTTGGTCCACAGACGGTGGTTCTCCTGTACCTATTCAGAAGTATTCCTTCCCAGTGCAATTTCTTTCATTTAAGACTCTGGAAAATTTGCTGGAATTTTTTGTTCCTGTAGAACATTCACTGTTTGTTATAAGGAAACGTATCTTAATGTTTTGTTTTTTTCTCTTTCTAACATTGAACTGTCAACACCAGAGCAAGGTTCTGTTACTTTCTCAAAAGCATCTTTTCTAGTTATTAAAATTAGGTGGGTTTTTTAATAACCTTTGTTAAATGATTCACAAAGCGTTTGCTCTGTCTGCTTTATAAGCTATTTGATAAAGGTCAATTAATTATACTCTTGTAGGAAATACTTTCCAGCCCTAGTCTTTAGTTTTAGGATTGTAAGCTTGAACTTTGGTTGGTCAGGAACCCTGGGATTAAGTATTCAAGGGAGAGACAGGGAAAGATTGACCACAGCAGGCGCTCGTGTAGGGCGGGTGACGGTGCTCCTGTGTATGGAGGGGAGGGACACACCGGACGACTCTCCAGACTTTTTTGAGCCCCATCTCTTGTTGGAAACTGTGCACTGCTTTGTGGCTGCATTCACTGTGACCAGCAGTTAATGGACAGACATGGAGGAGGAGAAAAGCGGATTAGATAAAAAACAGGTGAATATGGACGGAGACAGGAGGATGTATTTTTAAAAAATTTATGGGAGGGGCCGGCCCGGTGGCGCACTGGATAGTGCGCCGCTTGGGAAGCGCGGCGGTGCTCCCGCCCGAGGGTTCGGATCCCACATACAGACCGGTTCCCGCTCACTGGCTGAGAGAGGTGCAGGTGCAGCACCGAGGGTTGCGATTCCGTTGCCGGTCCCCGGTCCGGTACGGGGGCAACACTGAGGGTTGTGATCTGTTGCCGGACACGGAAAAAGACAAAAGACAAAAAAAAAAAATTATGGGAGAATAAAAGGAAACAAAGATCATTTGTACTTATCATTGTAGTTCCATTTCCTTTTAATTGACTCGTCTTTTTCCTGAAGCCACTTAATCCTGACAAAACTCCTTTGAGGTAGTCGTTGGTGACCCCGCTTACACATTGAGAGACTGACACACAGGTTAGGTAACTTTGCTAAGGGTGCCCAGCTGCTGGGAGCTGTGAGAGAATATGGAAATTTACCCAGCGCTGAAGAGGTAAACTCCCCCTCTCTTGGGAGCTTATAGTGCAGTGGGAATCACCAAACTGAAAGGCCAGAGAAGGGTGGGTGGTCTAGGGCCCACTGCAGCCTAGGTGTGTCTCAGGAGGGTGACATGTTGGCAGAGGCCTGTGGCAGGATGTGGAAGAAGGGGGGTGGTGCGTCTTCTGTGTGCCTGCAGCCTGGCGGCGGGTCGGGGAGGGCTCGTGGGAGGTGAGGCGAGGCTGCAAAGGTGGGTGGGGAGGAGGAGGAGGAAGACTATGTGGGCAGTGGGGGGTCATCAAAGGCTCAGGGTGACAAAGACCCACAACAAGAGATGCGGAAGGAACCGTTCGTGCTGCGGTGAGAAGAGCCCAGACAGAGCACCTGAGTGCTGAGCTGGGAATATTCTAGGGATTTGTAGTTTCTTTCTGCTGTGGTTGCAAGCAGACACAGTGAGGAGCTACTGAGGAAGTGGATCCGTGTTGAAGCTCCACTTGCTACTTCCTGGGCAGGTTACTTGATATTTTTGAGCTGTACAATGGAGACTAGTTTTAGAGCGTTGTCAGAAGTTGGTTAGATGTGCATGGCTGCGGCCCAAAGCCTGCTTTTCTGTCTCTCCGACTGCACACAGCTGAGCACGTGGCAGGGAAAGAACTAGGCTTGTGTGCATTAGATGTAAATGGAAAGAGAGGGAGACACATAATTAAGGTTCTGCTTTCAGGGAAAATGTAAGGAATATGGGGCTGGCCATTTTCAGGAGTGCCGGACCACCTTCCGTTCTGACTGGTGTTTAGTTGTGGGGTGTGGGTCCTATAAAACAGACCAGTGATGACTTTTTCCTTTTTTTTACTCTCCCAGCGACAGGAAAAGAATGTCTGTAATTGTTCGAACTCCTTCAGGGCAACTTCGACTCTACTGTAAAGGGGCTGTAAGTATCGGTGTCGTGTCTCGTGTAACAGAGGGTTCTGGCAGTTGCTTTGTGAACTGCTGCTTCTCCTGACTTCTGTTCTCACTGTTCCCTGACGGTTTGCCCAAGGTTGAGGGGCTCTTTGAGGTATGCTGTAAAGGTGCCGTAGTGGTAAAAGTCCACTGAAGATGATGGTGACGGTGGTTTAAGGCAGTGTGGCAAAGATCGCCAGCGAGAAGCTTGCTTTTAGCCAGTAGCTGGTTTCAGAAAGAGCAACTCGTGCCACGCAGAATCCTCAGAGTGTGAATTCTGATTCCAGTTTACCATGTTGTGTTGTGGCTTCAGGAAGATAATGTAACTTGTGTGGACTTGTGACCATTTTCTTTAAGTATTCTGATATATATTGGCCCACTGGCAGCTATTCTTCTCAATTGTTGTCATTTATTTTTTTACTCATCACAGAGTGCTGTGCTGTACGTACAAGGGTAGTGTCCACACGTGGGCAAATTATTATTGCCTCTTTAGTCAGTTTCCTACGTCAGGCCTTTTGTCCTGGCTACCTCTGAGTAACCAAACCTAAATATATTATCTCTAAGGAAAGATGTTACTGCAAGCTTACTTGTAAAACTATATTCTGTTAAATTGTGGTCTTCTGTATTGAGGGAGAGAATGGTGTAAAGCTCTTTTATCTACCTGTAATCCTGCCAACTATGCCAATTGTTGAGCTAGGGTTGGGTCTGGAGCTCACACAACCCTCAAGCCCATTCACAGACTGGGTCACAAACCCTTCACATGCCAGGCTGGGTCACCAGACCCCTCACACGCAGGTCTATGAGCTAGGTAACCGGCAAACGGGTCCTTGGAAGCTGTAGACTGGAGAGCATGTCTGTGTAGAACGGCATCTGCCCAAGGCAGTCTGCCCACCTGCTTCACTAAAACCCTCTGAAGAACACAAGAACAGCAACAAAACTAAAAAGATATATTGACATGCATGTGCGCTAACTCCACACACACACACACACACACACACACACACACACACACACACACACACACAATTTGCTTACAAAGGATGTGCCGAACCACATCCAACCGGAGGTGAGGGCCCTGACCAAACCATTCTATTTTCCCAACAACCCACCCTTTCAGGGTCCCTCGCCGTACAATCTACATGTTCAGAATCTTCTGCAATGTTCCTTTAGCGTGAGGATAAATAACCCTTACATTCACATATTGCACGTTCCATCCCTGTCCCAAGACACTGGGTACACATTCCCATTCCAGAAGGGAGGAATAGAAAGGAAAAATAGTCCCCAAACAAATCCAAAATCCAAACAGAGCAAACATTAAGCACACTGGGGCACCTGGACCCCTAAAGCGTTGGGCAACCTCTCTCCTACAGCTCCACCAAGTGCAGCCCATTTCCAGGCCAGCGCTGCACACTGCCAGCAGCCCCACGGTTCTGGGCTCCTGGCGGCAGTCCTGCCATCCTGGCTCCACTAGACATTTCCTCAGTGGGGGTTCTCTGTGGGTGCTCCAACCCTACCTTTCTGCTTCATATTGCTCCATAGATGACCTCTGCAGTGGCTCCACCCCTGCAGCAGGTCTCCGCCAGAGTCTCCTGGCCTTTTTATACATCTTCCAAAATCTAGGTGGAGGCCACCATGCCTCCACTGCTCTCACGTACTGCTGGCCTGCAAACTTAACACAACATGAACATCACCGAGGTTTTTGGCTTTTTTCTTCAGAGGTGCTGAGGCAGGATTGCTCCAGCCAGAGCGGCTGGGATGCAGGGAGCAGTTTGCTGAGGGCAATGACACCTCAGGTCTGTCCTCTGGGACAACTCAGTCCTTCTAGGTCTCAGGGCCTGCGATGGGTGGGGCAACCTTCCAGATTTCTCAAATGCCTTTAGAGCTTTTCTCTCATTGTCCTGGTTTTTAGCATCTGGCTGCCTCACTGCCAAGATAATGTCTTTAGCAAACAGTTTATCTGCTTCCCCCTTGCATTTTTCTCCTGCTCTCTGCTTCTCTACCACATGGCCAGGCTTCAAATTTTCCAAATCTTTATGCTCTGCTTCCCTTTTAAATTCTGGCTTTTGAATTACTTCAATCAGCTGGGCTTACACTGGCTACTCACTCAGTCTCAGGCAGTTCAGCGCATTTGCCCACACAGTTCAAACAGCCGCATTCACTTAGTTCATCAAGGAGTGGCTGCTCCACCCCTGTGCATATCTGCGGCTCTTTTGTAACCGCTGCCACTGAGACAGGCACGTAGTAACGGAGACTAACTTTTTCCACCTTTTCAGCAGGTGAAAATATACTTGAAATTCTGCAGGGGCACCCATCCTTGGGTCATCTGCCCATCTGCATGTGGCACTCTTTTCTTATTCTTTTCTCGGGTTTATACAGCACCCTTCAAGTCATCGGGTTTAAGTGGTACCCTTCAAGCCATTTATCTTCAGACAAACGCAATGTGTGTTTACTGTATGGTCTCTAAAGCATATTACACCATTCACCCCTAGATCCCATAGCTGCAGCTGCCAGGGGCTCTCCCTGTTTCTGCTGCTTTACTGTCTCAAATTTTCGTGCACAACAGGTTGGGCCTGGAGACGCACGGTTTCCCCCAACTCACCACTGGGTTGGTCGTCTTCCCTGGTGTGAAGGACAGGAGTGGCCAGTCACTGCACATCATCCTCCAGGACATTTATCTGTGCTTCCAACAACTCTGCTTTCTGCTGCAAATCTCGATCAGTTTGCAGCATAGTGATCAGCAGCCAGGCTCCGGTCAGCAGAAATGTAGCAACTGGGCACCACATGCTCAAGGACAGCCACATTTCTTCCTCTTCCCATGGGGTTTCAGCTCCTGTAACAGCTCAGAATCCTGCCAACTGCAGCAATTGTAGAGCTAGGCTAATGTTGGAATCCTGCCGATGTCTCCAATTGTGGTGCTCTTTTACCTGCCTGTAATCTTGTAGCGACTGGGCCAGTTGTTGAGCTAGGTTAATGTTGGAATCCTGCTCACAGTGCTAACTGTAAAGCTCTTAATCCTGCCGACTACACCAATTGTAAAGCTCTTTTACCTGCCTGTAATCCTGCTGACTATGCCACTTGTCGAGCGAGGGCTGGGTCTGTGAGCTCTAAAACCAGCCCTAGCTTGACAACTGGTGTAGTTGTGTAGCTTCACAATTGGCATCACGAGCAGGACTAAGAGCTTTACAAATGGTTAAGCTTATTTTATGAGACTATGTCAAGAATAGGAAGCTGTCCTAGGATCAATAACAGATTGAAAATCGTAATAATCTTATCAGTTGTGGAAAGAAGGATGGTTTTATTTAGTACACTGTGACTTTTTAAAAATGAGTAATGCATTGGGACTCTAAAGGTATCATATCTGGTCCCATAAACGAGTTCTGTGTTTAAAGTAACAGCTTAAATTAAGGCCTCTGGGCTGTGTTTTCACATGGTATGCTTAACATTACCTTCGTATTCATTTGTTTGTTTGTCATTGTGTACCAAGTACCACAGCAAGCACAGAAGGGATCAATGTGAGGTGGTAGAGAGAGGAAGGCTGTAAATACAGAAAATCCTCCAAAGATGTATTTTGTTTTTATAGGATTTAATTCTCTCCAAACCTGCCCCCACAAACCAAACTAGGTTTCTTATAAAAAATGTTAGTGTCCTAAAACTATGCAATTTATAATATATTTTATGAATTATTGCTGGCATCCAGTCCCCCAGCCCTGCTTGTCCATCATGGAAATAATCACGGGGTGAGCTGTGTACACCCGTGTGTTTCTCAGCAGAACTCAGTTCAGCACTGGTGGACTGGGCTGTCCCTGTTGGGAGCTCCTGCAGTGTCAAGAAGCACGGTTGTGCTTGAGTAATTGAGGATGTCAATTTTACCCTTTCCACTGCTGCACAAGGGTATTATAAACTTTGGGATATGAGTTTTGCAAATTGGGGTAAATGTAGGCAGTGTGGTGTCCCTGATTAGCATCCTCCCCAATACATTTTTGTTTGGCTTTTAAGATATATGACAGATTTTGGTCTTGTGGGATACATCCATACCCAATTTGTTTTCCAGAGCTCATGCCTGAGCTCAGCCAAGAACTGTCTCCCTGCTTGCCCACTCAAGTCTTCTCACACACATCGAGTCAACACCCATAGAGCAAAGCCCTGGTTAGCATGCCAGCTGGAGGGTTTGCTGAAGGGCTTGCCGGTCACACTGTTTCCCTATTTTATAGGATAATGTCATTTTTGAGAGACTTTCAAAAGACTCAAAATACATGGAGGAAACACTATGCCATCTGGAGTATTTTGCCACAGAAGGTAAGTGAAATTCACAAATGTTAATTTTGACCTCGAAGCTGTACTTTCACGTGGTTTGGCTGATGCTTGGATCAGTGGTCACATCCTTTTTGTGCAGTGCTTGGCTTGCTTCACTGGAGTATATTCTTCCAGTGCCATCACACCCCCTCCCACCTCCACGTCTTGTGCCCTGGCAGTGTTGACATGCGTGGCAAAGTCTGGATACCTGTACCTGTAGGACTCAGCTAACTCGTGACCAGTGGTGCGGAGGAGAAGGCAGGCTACCTCCCAACATGTAGAATCATCTCGTAGTTCTTAGTCCCTCTCTCCGGAAACTCATGTGGTTATTTCCCCGTCCCTCTCTTGTCATTCACATGACACTGGCTTCTCTGTGACTTGAGGAAGTAGTAAGTCACTGAACCCCGGGTGAGCAGGAGCGGAGTTCTCATGTCAGGTTCTCCTGCTAGAGCACGTAATGGTAGCTGGGCTGCGCTTCAGCGCTGACTGCTGCTTTCGCCTTCCTGTGTTCCTGTGGCTACAAACGCATGCACACGTGAGTGCGCTTGCTCATGCCTGCGCGCCTGGATCTGTCGCGTGATAGTGCACTGGGCTTTTCATTGCTGTGCTGGAACATACTTCCTGCCTCCTCTGCTTGCTGATACCTGCTACTACACGTGTGCACGTGACTGTGTGCGCAGCTCCCGTACCTCTGCTGTGGAGAACTCACTCTCATGACTTCTCCTATACTCTCACATTTATAGATGAGGTGGTTTATATTAGAATGTAGTACAGCTGTTTTTAAATTTCCCTTTGTAGATGTGAGTGTTGAATTAGAGTGACCTAAAGAGCAGATGGCTGCTTTAATTTTTTACATGCTGATACAGAAGAGAACCCTCCAGGAGGTGAAATACTCTGGTTGCCCCTATTCACCAGTGGCTGTTTTGCAGGTCTGCGGACTCTCTGCGTGGCTTATGCTGATCTCTCTGAGAATGATTACCAGGAGTGGCTGAAAGTCTATCAGGAAGCCAGCACCATATTGAAAGACAGAGCTCATCGGTTGGAAGAGTGTTACGAGATCATTGAGAAGGTAACTGCACATGATATAGTCTTCACCTGCCCAGGAAGGGACTTAACCACCTGTTGTACAGTCTTCGAACAGGAATTCTTTTGATATCTAGTGATGTTCTCTTTGCTTGTAAGTGTCTTCGTGAACCATTAGCTTTCAATCATTTCCTTCTTTGCTTTAAGAAGCACTTAGTTTTTATGGACTATTTGAAAGATCTAGCCACCCTCAGCAAAGCATTAATGACATCTTAAGAAATATCCGGTCCAAAACAGCATTGGTGACTTTCTGGGCTTGCCTAAGATTAGGCTCAGTGAGATTAGCTCACCCTGTTGAGTTTCATGAGCAATCAGAATGTTGTGTAGTAGGCTGATTAAACTCTGTACCTGCTGGAAATTTTCAGTTACTTGTTTTAATAATGTTTGAGCTTCTCCATTGCTGCTCCCTGTTACCTACTTTTATTTTTGTTTTGTTTTTGTTGTTGTTTTCAGTTTATTATCCCAAAGCGTTAGGTAGCTTTCTACTTACTAGATTCCCTCACATCTGAGAGCAAAGTTTCTGCTTTTTCTATTCTGTGTCAGCAATCATTGGGCCATCCATTTTCCAGTGTTTATGACTTTGAAGCCATCACCTGTTTGACTTTTTCATTCTTTCTTGGATTTTTCATTCCCCTTTGCTTTTTTATACTCAGTTTTTGTTTGAGTCTTATAGTCAGTAGTTCATATTCAATCATTTTACTGAAATTTAGGTAGGAATAGAACTGAAGTGTTCATTTGCTCTACTTCACTGGAAATATCCAAAATTACTTGTATAATCACCAAAAAACGTGGTTAAATAGTGAGGTGCCTGTGCAGTACCAGGCACGTGCTGGATGCTCGAGAGGTAGTTGGATTTTCCCACAGTCTGCTAACCACACTGAGGAGCTGTGTCATGGAGAGCCTTGGGGCAGGAGGAGGTGATGGGCAGGTCCCCTGAGCAGAGTCTCTGCAGTCTGCCAGGCCAGCAGGTAGCACAGGCAGCCAGGGGACTGCACGTCCACCCCTGTCCTCAGCATGAACTGACCCTTCCTGGGCCTTGAAGATGGCTAAAGTGGGTGGCACTTTATAGCTCCCACTCTTAAGATGCTCTGATGTTTTCTTCTTGAGCTGTTAAATTGCTAGCATCATAGGTCTCTTAACTCCTGTCCTGCCAGATAAGTACGGCATCTAGAATCAGTTCTTCTCATATGCTAAATATAACATGCACTTGACTTGTTAGCAGGGGGAGGGGGAGGGCTGATGCGCCTCAGTATCTGGGATAACTTGCACACACGCTACTGCTGTATGATTTCTATTCTAACACGCCCGTGTTCCAAGAAATGAATGGCGAGCACCAGGCTGCCTGCGCCTGTGGAGTGGTTCTGACATTGCAGACAGTTTGGAAATGCCACCCACCTAGGCATCGTTAATCATCTGCAGACACAGGTGGAATGTACAAGAAATAAGATAACTGTCTCAAAACATTGACTGCCTTGCTTTTGTCAGAGTTTTGTTAATGCAGTGCCAGTCTTTAATTGAAGATGTTTTTCTATTTAGAATCTACTGTTACTTGGGGCCACAGCCATAGAAGATCGCCTTCAGGCAGGGGTTCCAGAAACCATAGCAACTCTGTTGAAGGCAGAAATTAAAATATGGGTGTTGACAGGAGACAAACAAGAAACTGCAATTAATATAGGTAATCAATTTTAAGAATAATTTCTTGATGCTGGTTTTTGTATTATGTTTTTAAAGTGTCTTGTCAGTGTGTCTGTGTGTTTCTCAAGTGTGTGGACCAATGACGTTTCATAGAACTCTTCGTTCACAAGGCCAAGAAAAGTTTACTCAAACAAAGATGCTCTTATGGCATTATCTGCCTATTATAAACGTTAAAGCTATTACAGCTCCCTGAAAATAATTAAACACACTTAGATCACAGAACTCAGGAGTTGAGACTTTGATTTTCTTACTGATTTCTTCTCAAAACTTTAGTCTGAGAGGCTAAGAGAGCATGTGTTCACTAGATTTAAACATGCATTATTGTTTTATATAATTATAACCATTTATTGTTTTGTAAGAGCCTTGCATCTGCCCCTTCCTGGTCATGGTTGGCAATCCCCTTGCTTGCTAAGCATCACAGAGATGAAAATTGTAGAAAGGGAATTTAAGTCAAAATAACTTTGTCAGTATTAAAGCAGCACATTTTAAGTTTGAAAAGGAGTTGAAGCTGTTCATTTTTTAAAAATCTAATCCTGATACTTCGGTCGCATTATGGTTTAACAAGACCTGGTACCTAAGTGATAAAGTGAATATATAAGGACTACGTAACTTATAGCATCTTTATGGAAACAGACTCGATGTCATAGCTGACTTCAGAGAAAAGCCTGCTAGAACCTGTGCGTTCAAGTGATTTTAGTCCTCTTCAGAGTAGACTCGGAATATTATCAACTTCATCTAGTGTTGTCCCTTCCTTCAAACTTCCTATTTTGAATCAGCTCTGTCTCTCAGATAACCCCAGTTGTAGACAGAACCTGCCCTCTGGGGTGAATTTCACTTTTTTTTTTTTAATAGACAAAAGCCATTTAATCATTTCTTATCAAGGATATAGCTAAATAAGTGTAACTTGGGCTCCCAAATAATTGAAATTAAGGTTATAAGAGATTGACAGGTGATTTGTAAACAGTCTCTGAAGTATCAGCCATAGACTTTGTCCCTGGATTTTTGCTGCTTGTCACTCAAATGCTTGTTTTTGGACAACAGTGTGAGGTTTCAGTGCAGACCTGTCACTGCTACTGGAAAATCAACCCCCTAGCTCCTGGTCCTTTGATCACGCGTCAGTAGCATTTTTATTAATGAAGGATAACACATTTGCTTTTTGTATATTATCTCTCTGTATAAGTATACGGATTGGCCCTTCCTTCCGGTACTGTTTCCTATATACATTTGGCCTTAAACACCTGTGATTGATCTGGGCGCCGCCCCCCACACCATTGTTCATATAGGTCATACTGTGTAGACTGCTGCCCTGAAATACCGAAAATTTAGATGGTGTGAAAAAAAGTGGGTAATCCCTCAAATTAAAATTGAACTGTAGTGATAACCTTTCGTAGTTGTCCCAACCGTTAGTGCTGCGGCTGGCCCGAGGCCCTCTGTACGCCGCGACCCGGACTTCACTTCCTTCAGTGCTGTGTGGTGTGCCAGCTGGGTGCCACAGCCTCGCAGACACGCCACCCTGCCCTGGGGCAGCGACAATTTGCTTGTTTGTTCATTTTGTTACCTGAGCCTATCAGGGTCTATCTAAGCTTGGAATAAACACAAGGGAAGGCAAAGGACTGAAAACCACCTAGAACACACAAGTGGGCTATTACCTGCAAGGGAAAGATTTACTTTCATGCGGTGAGGTTGCTCTGAGCCTTACGAGATAATTGATGTTTATTCAAACAGTTTTTTAAAAATAATGATTATAGATGCTCCTTGACTTAAGATGGGTTTATGTCCATATAAACCCATCCTAAGACGAAAATAGTGCATCAAAAATGGATTTGATACCTTCGTAAGCCCATCAAAAATTATAAGTTGAACCATCGTAAGTCAGGACCGATGGACCATCTGTATATTATTTTGTACTTTTTTCAGAGAAGGTATAGTGACATGTATAGTGTTGGTACCAGCAGCACTCACATCCATTAGACACTTATGAATTGATCTTTCTTGGTGAATACTCTTCAAGATCACTAGAAGATGAGGCCTCCTATGTATAAGCTGATGACTTTGCCAAAGTCTTGTATGTATCCTGGAGGTTTTCTGTCCTCGTGTTTTATCTAGTGTATCGGTTGAATTCAAAGACATGTTTGGTGTTCCTCAGGGTGCTTCTAACAGCTAGGGAACTGATGTTCTTTCAAAGTCCTAGGTCTGAATTATTTCTTCACTTTGCCATCAGAACTCAAGTTGTAACCCTTGGTGAGGCTGATGGATTAGGTGTCATTTTCTGATTTAGGATATCTGTTGAGTGTACAAATGATGCAAAAGGCTCAGGAAAACTTATATGTCTAGACATTTTATTAGGCTGCTCAGTGTCAGAGCCCATGCAGCGGCTATCAGCAGCACCAGGTCACGCTCCAGACACAGGATGGTTTAAGCAGGTTTTCTAGTCAGATAGTTCTCGTCCCCTGGTAATGTGAACCACTGTTGATCTGTCTCCCATGATACTTACTCTACATTCCAGTGCACTCCATGTGTGTTTTAGGGAATCCAGAAGATATTTGGGGAGAAGATCAAGTACCTAGCAGTTCTACTTCTAGAATGAATGAAGGGAAAGCAAGCAAATTAGGAGAGCGTCTGGCAAGTGCCAGGTGCTGGGCTAGGCGTGTTTTCTGAAAACTCTGTTCTGTCTTTACCTATGAGCGATCTTACAGCTCAAGGAGTAAATTCGGAGTTTCCCAAGGTTAATGACAAAGCTAGTACTAGATCTCAGGGCTCTTGCCTTCTGGTGCAAGGCTTATTAAAGGGATTCATGAAGCTTTCACAGAAAGTGTTTTCTGAAAATCAAATTGGAAAACTGGAGAGAATGGTACTGCATTTCATCCATTCTGAGGTGCGTGTTGTTTTACATTTTAACATCTCTGAAATTGGGATGTTTTATGATTGTTGACTTTTACACTTTTAATTGTTAGCATTTTCTTAGCGACACATACCATAATAGCTCAGCTTTAGATTTGGTGACATTTGTTATGTTTGGTGTTTGGGGTTGTTGGCTCTCTTTAGCATTGGGTTTTTTTTTTTAATATATATATTTCATAGTTTGAAAATTTATTTTTAAAGTGTAACTTTTTGTTCATACCTTGAATATATGTATACTTAGTCAAATTAATTTCCATTATCTGTGTCTGTTATGAGCCAGTGAGTTTTATGTAGCTAGTCATCTTGCCTGTAGGGTTTAGTAGTGTGAAAGTGGCACATTGCCAGAAGCCTGCGGTGCCGTGCTTGAGTATATGCTAACTAGCTGTGTCTGGAGGAGCTGGCAGTTTTCTTTTTTAGCTTAAAATTTGGCATCAGCTAGTCCAAAGTGAAATTTCAGATGCAGCTCTTATGAATTGTGTAGTCATCATTTCCTTATTACCACTGGATGAATCATCTATTAAGTAGTCACACAATAGATGTGGAGTTTTCAGAATCTATAATTTCTTTCTGCTGGCTGTAGGGTGAGTGAGAACAAAATCCTAGTGTGTACTCCATTTTAAAGTCATTAAGTTGGAAACAGCCTTCATCTTAAACCATTTCTGAGTTGGAATTCTGAGTCCCCCTACGTTTTGTTACTCATCATTTGATACTTTAAAACCACTTCTTGTGGTCTTAGAAGTTGTTGTTTTTTTAAATTTTTTAAAATAAATTTTACTATGTACATTTAAGGTATACAACATGATATTGTGGGATACATGTAAGTTGTCTTAGAAGTTTAATTTTAAAAAGTGAGTACATATGCTGCTTGACCATCTGTTCCTGCCTATTCATTGCCTCGCTCGTTAAAAGCAGGACAAGTCCCCATCCTAAGCTACAACACTGCTGACGTTCTCAGTGTATTGTTGGATTAGCTGCAGGTAGCATTGTCACGGGTGCTCCTCTGCAGGCCTGGAGAACTTACATTCTCCAAGTGGGACATGAGTTAATTATTTATTTTTATTTTTAATTTTTTCCTTTTTGTCTTTTTTCATGACCGGTAACGGGATCGCAACCCTCAGTGTCGCGCCCGCACCGCGACCGGCAACGGGATCGCAGCCCTCAGTGTTGCGCCTGCACCGTGCTCAACCAGCGAGCAGACCGGTCTCTATATGGGATCCGAACC